ATAGATATAGTGATACATCATATACTGTATAATTAATTAATAAACATTTTTAAATACAGAATAAATGTTAAGTATTTGCAAGTTATATGTGAAAACTTCCATAAATTTCCCATTATTAATGGGGGGAAGTGCTTTAATTTTTTTTTCTTCATTATATAATTACATTTTACATCTTATTCTACTAAAAAAAAGGGTATCATCGACGGATTTTTCTGGCGGAATTTCCGTCGGAAATATTCCCGACGGATCCCTAAAAAGTCAAACAAAATCAACTTTTATCCATATCCGCCACAGATCCCCCACAAATCCCCCACTAAATTTTTTGGAAAAAAATTAAAATTATTTAAAACGGTTTTTCAACGGATTTGTGACGGATTTTATCCTCATTCAAAACCGTCACAAATCCGTCGGAAATCCGTCGCAAAATTTGCCTAATTTATTTAAATTAATTAATTAACGTTAATCAAAAACAATTTCCAACGGATTTCCGACGGAATTTAATTTTTAATAAAAACAAATCAAATTCCGTCGGAAATCCGTCGGAAATTGTTTTGATTAACGCTAATTAAACCTTTATACATATACATATATATATATATATATATATTTGTTAGGAAAAAAATTATTTTAAACTTTTCGACGGATTTCCGACGGAATTTAATTATAATTTAAAAAAAATTAAATTCCGTCGGAAATTTTAAACCTTTATATATATTTTGTTAGGAAAAAAATAAAAAAAAATTTCTTTGAAATTTCCGATGGAATTTAATTTTTTTTAAATAAAAATTAAATTCCGTCGGAAATCCGTCGGAAATTTTAAACCCCCCTCTCTCTCTCTCTCTCTCTATATATATATATATATTATCTATCTCTTGTTAGAAAAAAAAATATAAAAAAACATTTTTAAAAAAAATTCCCGACAGAATTTAATTTTTATTTAAAAAAATTAGATTCCGTCGGAAATCCGTCGGAAATTTTAAACCTTTATATATATTTTGTTAGGAAAAAAATAAAAAACCAATTTTTCTTTGGAATTTTCGACGGAATTTAATTTTTTTAAAAATAAAAATTAAATTCCGTCAGAAATCCGTCGGAAATTTCAAAGAAAAATTGGTTTAATTTTAATTCTTTCCAAGTTTAAGTTATTATAAACTTTTTTATTAAATATTACCAACAGAGTAGTCGTATGTTCAGTTACATTTAATGGATCTATTGGCTTTATTCGGTTCAATTGGACTTTTATATATATTATTGGGTTTTGGTGGAATTTAATGGATCTTAGTGGATTTTTTTGGGTTCAAATAGGTTTTAATGGAGCTATTAGGTCTTATTCGGTTCAATTTGGTATTAACGGGTACTAATTGGGCCTTATTTGGTTCAATTGGGTTTTAATGAATCCATTGGACTTTAATAGATCTATTGAGTCTGATTTCGTTCAATTGGGCTTTTACGGGTACTATTAAGCTTTATTCTGTTCAATTAGACTTTAATGGATCTTAGTGGACTTTAACAAGTATTATTTTGTTCAACTAGGCTTTAATGGAGCTAATAGGTCTTATTTGGTTCAATTGGGCATTAACGGATATTATTGGGCTTTAACGGGTATTATTGGGTTTTAGTCGGTTCAACTGGGTTTTAAAGGGTATTACTAGGCTTTAATGGATCTTAGTGGACTTTAATAGATCTATTAGGCTTTAATGGAGCTATTGGGTCTTATTCAGTTGAATTGGGTATTAACGGGTTCAATTAGGATTTAACGGGTACTACTAGGCTTTATTCGGTTCAATTGCGCATTAACGAGTATATTGAGCTTTATTCGGTTCAACTGAGCTTTAATGGATCTTAGTGGACTTTAACAGGTACTATTTGGTTCAAGTAGGCTTTAATGGAGCTAATAGGTCTTATTCGATTCAATTGGGATTTAATGAATCTATTGAGCTTTATTCGGTTCAACTGGGCTTTAATGGATCTTAGTGGACTTTAACAGGTATTATTTGGTTCAACAAGGATTTAATGGAGCTAATAGGTCTTATTTGATTCAATTGGGCATTAACAGATATTATTGGGCTTTAACGGGTATTAGTAGGTTTTATTCGGTTCAACTGAGTTTTAAAGGGTATTAATAGGCTTTAATGGATCTTAATGGACTTTAATGGATTATTGGGCTTTACTGGGTACAATTGGGCTTTAAAGGGTACTATTGGGCTGTCATGGATCTTAGTGAACTTTAATGAATATATTGTCTTTATCGGGTACTATTTGGTCTTCGATAGATCTCAGTGGATTTTAATGGATCCATTGGGTTTTATTTGGTTTAATTGAGCTTTAACGGGTACTATTTGGTCTTCGATAGATCTCAGTGGATTTTAATGGATCCATTGGGTTTTATTCGGTTCAATTGAGCTTTAACGGGTACTATTTGGTCTTCGATATATCTCAGTGGATTTTAGTGGATCCATTGGGTATTATTGAGCGTTAACGGGTACAATTGGGCTTTAACGGGTACAATTGGGCTTTAAAGGGTACTACTGGGCTTAAATGGATCTTAATGGACTTTAATGAATATATTGGGCTTTATCGGGTACTGCATTCGGTTTAATTGAGTTTTAACGGTTATTAAAGGCTTTATTCCAATCAATTGGGTTTTAACGAATACAATTGGCTTTAATATCTATTTTAAATATAAAGATTTGTTGAAAATTTTATAAAAATATTTTGTATTTTTAAAAAATGTTCCGACGGATTTATTTATTTATTTTAAAAATTACTTTTTCCGACGGAACACCGACGGATTTTCCGTCGGAAATTTGAATATTCTGAAAAAGGTCCCAAAGCCCAAATTGTATTAGAGTTAGGTTACTGCTCCCCTACCCATCTGAAATCCCACTCCCAATTCCCAATTCCCGCTCGCTTCTCCCATCTGAAATCCCAATCCCGATTTCCCCCAAATCTGAAATCCCACTCGGTTACTGCTTCCCTACCGATTATCGAACACGAAGACGAGTTGGAACACGAAGACGAGAATTGGAACACGAAGACGAGTTGGAACCGGCTTACTGCTTCCCTACCGATTATCGAACACGAACTCTTGACTGCTTTCATTTGCTTCTAGATCGAACACAGGTTTGGTTTATTGCTTCTTGACTCCTTAGCTGTATGACAATGAAGTAAGAGCAAAACATAGAGATTTGTTACTGCTTCCCTACTGCTTCTCAAGAGCAAAACATAGAGATTTGCATGTATGACAGTGAAGTAAGAACTCCTTTTCAATTTTCCTCTTCCCCAAAGTTTTGGCATTGCATTGTGTGAAGAAATGCAAATTTGAATATATGTGTGGAGAAATACACCAAAAATAATACAAAGATAATAGAGAATATTATGTAACAAAGGGTTAGAAACCAAAACCGATTCTTGAAAAGATTGGGATTGCAAATTAGAAGAATTGTGCTGCTGCTTTTTTTTACCAACTTCAAACTGATGGTAAATTTCATTCTTGAAAAGTGGGTGTTTGATCGAGTTGTCTTGTAGTTTCTTCACTTGTATCTCCTTATTGCATGGGTAATGCATGTGCATTCCAATTACGAACCGGAGGAAAGTCTTGTTGGTTTGACTGTCATCGCAAGTTCCTACCTATGAGACATCCTTTCAGGCGTGATAGGAACCAATTTCGTGTTAGACATGCCGAAAAAGYTGATGCACCCCCGCTATTAACGGGAGAGCAAATATGGGCAGAAGTCTGTAGACTTCCTACCGTTTATGATGGTGTCTCGCGTGGATCAAGACACTATAGAAAGCCCGCAGGTTTTGGAGTAACTCACAATTGGGTAAAGCGGAKCATTTTCTGGGAGTTGCCCTATTGGCATACTTTGTTAATTCAGCACAACCTGGATGTAATGCATATTGAAAAGAATGTGTTTGATAATCTGTTTCACATGATTAAGGATACACCAAAATCAAAGGACAACATGAAAGCAAGGAAAGACATAGCAGAATATTGCAACCGACCGGAGTTGCATCTACGTGAGGAACGAAATAAAGTATTTAAACCGAAAGCCTCTTACACATTGAACAAAGAGCAAGTACGAAAGGTGTGTGGTTGGTTGAAGAAGTTGAAATTTCCAGATGGCTATGCTTCCAACATAGGGGCATTAGTAAATGTTGAAGATGGTAGTTTTTATGGCTTCAAGAGTCATGATTGTCACGTGTTCATGCAAAGATTGCTCCCTATTTCCATTAGAGGGATGGTATCGAATCCAATATGGGACGCTATCACTGAGTTGTGCACATTCTTTCGTGCAATATGCTCGAAAGTGGTCCATGTTGACGACTTGCGGGTTGGTTTGAGACCTACGTAAGTATATACATATTGTAATTATTCATCCTTATTTATATGTCTTCAATAGAATGTTACCAATTACATGATTATTTGTCATTATAGGTTATGTCTGGGTATGACCCCATTACCGATCGTCTAAAATTTTTGGCTTCAAGACCACTCCGTTATGCTATTCAACACCCTGGGTTTTTCATAAATGGTTACAAGTTCCACACCCTAACACACGGTACCGGTCGCACCACTCATAACAGTGGAGTATGCATGAGAGGCTCTTGTTACTCAGAGTATGAGTCTGACTACTATGGGTTGTTGGATGAAGTCCTAGAGATAGAATATCATGGGTATGGACTATGTCGTTGTGCTGTACCGATATTCAGATGCACATGGTTTGATACAGTTAATGGCGTTCGAGTTGACCCAAAACATAATATTGTGGACGTCAAACATAGATCAAGACTTCATTCAGACGACCTGTTTATTCTAGAATCACAAGCTGAACAAGTACTGTGGTGAAAACAAAGCCAAGAGGGGTCTATGACTTAGCGTCATGTGTAATCGAAGTACCTTCCGATGAAACTGTGGATGAGGAACAATTTTTCAAGAAAATGATAGAATAACATCCATAGGTACAAACGAAGAAGTGTATGAACCCATCTGTCTTGTCATGGAGGAAGAAGACATAGAAGTTGCCAATGATGGTCGTGACAACTGGCATGTTGACGAGAGTAGTGACGAAGAAGAGTTTGAAGACTTCGATACTGACTCAGATGAAGAAGAACTTGACTTGTCTGATCACTCATTAGAAGATTAAATACTAGGTTGACTTTAGTGTTAATAAACTTTGTTTACTTGTGTACTCGTCTATATGTTATCTTTGTGAATTTATCTTTTAAATCTTTATTGTTTTAATAACCCCTTTCTTATAGACTTGTTACAGTATGCTGCGTATTTGGCGTGGAGGAGGTAGGGGAAGAGGTAGGGGCGATTCTACAGGTACTCCGTCCCCATCTACTGCTACACCTAGCCGACCTACACCTACTCCATCTACTGATACACCTAGCCGACCTACACCTACTCCATCTACTGCTACACCTAGCCGACCTACATCTACTGCTACACCTAGCCGACCTACACCTACTCCATCTACTGCTACACTTAGCCGAGCTATTACTAGCCTCCCTACACCTACTCCAGGATCTAGTAGTGCTTCTGTACAAACAGATGAGTTTGAGTCTGCAAATGTCCGTGGCATCAATGCTCCAGAACATCTTCCAGCCGAGAGAATGAGGATTGGTGTTACATCCAACGAGTAAGTGTTATATTAACTAATTGATCAAATTAATTATTTTTGGGTATCGATACTAATTCAATTCATTACACAAGTTTAACAATATCCATGCGACCCGTCATTTGACTCAGATTATTCGATCAATGATTGAGGGGCCATGGTGCACGTGGTCGGAAATCCCTAAGGTGGTGAAGACACGAATGTTGGAGCGTTTTCAGGTTCGTAGTATTCTTTTAACTTGTTATATTTGTGCTAGTTTTATTTTGAACTCAACAAACAACTAATCTTTTATGTTTAGGGGTACTATTGTTGGGATTCATCACTAGACGCCAAGATGCTGCAGATATGGGAGACTCGGGGTGCCAAAAACTACAATGATGGCATGAATTCTGCTAGGAGAAGGGCATGAGAAATAGCCAGAAGTCAATCGATGCCCTATGTAGAAAACGACCCTCATAGGGATATGAATATGTTAAAGGGCTTCCACCCTAAGTGGCTCGATCCTCGTATCTGGTGCGAGATGATTGATCGTTGGAACACGCCCGTTTGGAAGGGTGTAGTTTCCAAGGCGGCACGTGATAACCGAATGACTATGGTGGAAGGTGATATAGCCAAACACACCGGCGGATCGATCACATTCGCCATACATGGTGCTCGCCTGGTAGGTCTTTAATATCGATTACTTTAGTAGCTTGATTTTTAATATGACACTATTAACACATGTTTTTATTACTTGCTACTATGTAAACGAAAGCAAAAATGGCGTGCCACCGTCCGCTGTGGAACTCTTCGATCACACACATAAGAAGAGGTTGAGTACATAGTCATCTTCAGGTTGCGGGTCATGAGGGGAGTACGTGACTTCGAGGTGTAGTCGGGTTGCGGTAAGTTTACAATACCTATATATAACTTCAAACTCTATATTGGGTTGTCGTATGTTGGAGAAACGTTAGGATTATTTAAGTTAAAATGTTAGTGTATGTGTGTGTGATATATATTTCTATCTAGTTTGGGTTGCCATT